CAAGACCTCGATGATGATATTTTGTCAGACGAAGATAGCTTCACTAGTGATAGAATAATTTTTGCTACAAAACCAAACAATATTAGAAAAAGAGAAGAAAATACGATCAGTTTCGTATGACTAGTGACAATACCATTATCATTCCAGATGAAGAATATGAACAACAAGTTGATTCCTCTGGTGATGACGAAGAATTTCAGTCGGTTGATGAGGAATCTTCTTCAAATGAACTATTGTTAAATAATAACGAATCGTTTGCGGCATCTGAATATGTAGAAGAATCAGATACGAAAAATACATTCACAAACATAAATATGAATGATTTTTGGATTCTTTTATGGATCTTTAAATCTCAAGAAAGATTCAGGCTTCCAGATATTGCAGTCGATTCATTAATCAAATTCTTCAGAGTAGTACTGTCCAATACTAATGAAAAATGATTCGAAAAATTTCTTGCAAGTGCTTATATGGCAAGGAAGTTATTAGATATAAAAAGGAAATCAAAAATATATGTTGTCTGTCCTGAATGCAATAAAATATATTCTATTACAACAAATCAGATGAATTCAGAATGTAAATACTCTCATATAGAATTGTCAAATCATCTAATGCAGTGATGTGCTTGGAATGCTTTCAATGACTTTTTGTTGGAATTGGAAGACCTATTGGAAGATTTGGAAGTATTGGAAGATTTTGATCTTCCAATAAGTCATGTATATTGGAAGCTTCCAATCAAAATTTTATACTATTGGAATTAGCTATTGGAAGATCCAATACTGCTTCCAATGCTTCCAATACTATTTTGTAATAGATAATCTCATACAACTCTAAAAAAATTTAAAAATTTTTTCAAACACATTGTTTAATTGTTTTTTTTCTCACTTTTCTAAAATGAGTACTAAAAGAAAATATAAACCAAAAAACCATCGTTTAACACAATATATAAAAGTGCTTGGCAAACAAAATAATTGGAATAATTATGCTGTTTGTCTTGCATGTTCTGAAAATTTAGAAGAGAGCAAACTTTCAAAGCTTACATTTACAAATAAAAAACTATAAGTAAAAAACCATTTAAAAAATTGTGCATTTTTTCGAGAAAAAATTGGTAGCCAGGAAAAAGTGGACGCAATTATTAATTTGACAGATAATAAAAATGAGGAAATCACAAAAGAAAAACGTTTAAGAGTGAATTCAGACTCTGGTAAGATTGGAAGAGAAAAAGTAATAAGATACTTGGAATCTATGCAAAGTAATCTTAATACTGTATTTTTTAAAACAATAGAGGGAGAAATTTCTTCAGTTCAGTCCTTTGCTTTAACATCAACAACATCATCTAAACGCTGTCTTTATCCAGTTAAAACTGGTGATAATGTGATGGGAAATATTCTTGTTCAGACACCTACAAAAAAAGAACAACTTGTTTTTGAACGTCTTTTATTAAGAGTAACAGTATCAAATGGATTTTTATTTCAATAGATCAAAAATCAAGCAATATTGGATTTATTTGAGTTTTTAAATCCACACTTAATTTTACCAGGACGAAAAATATTATCAAATCGTATATTAAATGATGAAACAGAAAGTATAGATAAATTACGAGATGAAAAATTAAGTAATGATTAGATTGGTGTAACATTAGAGTTCGATAGATGGAAGAATGTATTAAGTCAGCATATATTTGGATCATTATTTATTACATCTTCAGGCAAAATTCTAATATAGAAGGCATTTGATATTAGTAATGAAAGAGAACGTATGATTGAAATAATTCCTAAAATTGAGGGTTTAATTAAAGATGCAGAAAATGATTTAGATGCAAGAGTAATTACTATAATTTTGAATAGTGCAGCAGCTTATGCTGGAACTCAGTAAGAAATTTAATTTATAAATTATTTATAATGCATTTTATATTATTATTTATTACTGAAAAATAACTAATATTTTTTATATTTATTTTTTAATTATAATGATAGACGACGACTTCAGTTAGAATATCCTCATATTATTTTCTTGCCATGTTTCGCACATCAATGTCAGTTAGCGATCTGTGATATTTTTAAAGAATCACCTACGTTAAAAAGTGCATCAGCCAAAGCAATCACAGTAGTAGCATATTTTAAACATGGAAATAATAGCTATTTTATTGGTAAATTGCGTGATATACAAAAAGAATTATATGATAAATATTATTCAATTATGGTTCCATGTGAAACTAGGTAGAACAGCTACTACTATTTTTTTAAAAGTTTAATTCGATCTAAACAGGCGTTAAGGGTAATATAAATTTCTTAAATTTAATATTATTTGATTCACTTTATTTAGTTAATTTATTATTTTATTATTTTAATAGAATTTAGCAATTCGGTATGAGCATTCACAATCTACACCAGCAGAAGCAAGTTCTTCAACATCAAATAATGCCAACAAAATTTGTTTGAAAAAAAATATTTGTAAAATTCTTCTTGATAACAATTAGTGGGATATCATAGAATCTTTACAAGAAATTTTGTTACCTTATTGTGACGTTTTAAATAAGCTTCAAAGTGACAAAGTATGACTTTTTGAACTACTTCATGCTTTAGGATATTTTATTCAGTTTTGGAATCAATTCCAGAAATTGAGTTAGGTGAAAAAATAGTAGAATGATTAGAAAAACGTTGGTATCAATAGGAGCAGCCATTACTTTTGCTCTCATTTATGTTCCATCCAAAGTATCAGCTTATATATTTCAATCCTAGAATTGAAAATTTATCATTTACTACATTGGGATGCTATTTAACATACTATTACAAAGCATGGTTTCAGAAAAGGCCAACCCGTTTATTGTTAGATTTTGAGGATTATCGCCAAAAAGTTCAACCATTTGATGATAAAACTTTCGGCCAATTTGGTTGTGATATATTCAAGTTCTGGAATTATATTAGAGGTGATTATAAAGAATTAGCCAGTGTTGCTTTAAGAATTTTTGGAATCTGCGTAAATGCTGCTTCAGTAGAACGCATGTGGTCTTCTATGGGATTTTTACATACAAACTGTCGAAATCGATTGAATGTAAGTTTTAATTAATAAATTTTGATAATATTTATTTAAAATTTGCTAATTTAATTAATTTTTTAGAACGATAAAGTTTTATCAATGAGTAAACTTCGTGCATCTATTAATTTCTTATTTAGGAAAAAAGAATTGCAAAAAAACAAAGTAGAGTTTTTTGATTTAAATACTAAACCAGTTAATGATTCTGCAGAAAATTTACAACAAAATCATATAGATGATGATGAAATTATTGGGGACGAAAATATTATAACTTCTGAACGTTGGGAAAATGAGCTTGCTGAATGGGAATCAATGTTAATAGATGAAGAAGTATCACAATTAGAAGAAGAAGAAGCCTTAAGAAATAATCCAGGAAGTTTGAAAGGTAACCTTTTAACAGAATATACACATCCGGCAATTGATACTAGAGCAAAATGAGAGCTTAAATCTTTATTTAGTTCTACTATTGAAATTTCTAAATACTTAAATTCAAATGAATCAATTTAAATAAGCTTGTTTTTCCCATATGTAGCTTAGTTACTCAACTTTAAATGAAATAAATAAATAAATATATCACGTGAATTAAGTGCTTCTAATCTTCCAATAAAAATCTATTAGCATTGGAAAGCTTGGAATTGGAAGAATTGGAAGATTCCAATAGCTTCTAACCTTCCAATGCACATCACTAATCTAATGTGAAATCAACGGAAAGCTTGTGAGACAGAATTACTTACGAAAATTCTAGTAATAAACAGATACATATAGCGTCCTAAAATGATATATCCATTGCCTTATTTAAGGACTCAAATAATTACAATGTATTAAAGGCCAGGCTTTGAAGAACTTTTAAAGAAATAGGTAACTCAGAATAATGAAACCAGCTTACTTTCTGATATCTATGATGATGAAATATGGCGAAAATTCCCATTACATATGGATAATGTAAATCAAGAATGATTTTTCACACCTGCAACAGCCGATTTTTATTTAGGATTAATGATAAATCTCGATTGGTTTCAACCATTTGAGTCATCTTCGTATAGCAGTAGTGTAATATATGGTGTTATATGCAATCTACCACGGGATGTTCACTTCAAAAAAGAAAATATTTTAACTCTTAGCTTGTTACCAGAACTGAACGAGGTCAAATTACATCGGATAAATCATTATCTTATCCTAATCATAGATGAATTGCTGGAATTCTGGAATGGTGTAGATTTACCAGCTACTAACCAGCATCCTGTTAGTAGAAGAATCAGATTAATAGTAATCTGTTGCAGTAATGATATTCTAGCTGCACGAAAATTATATGAACACATTTCCGCTTTAGTGGGTTGTCACAGGTGTTACAAACGTGCAGATAGTATTGATGAAGAAAGAGCTAATTTTGGGGTTTTGATAATATATCCGAATGGTTTAGAATGTGAGATCCAGATGAGTATCGTCGCAATGCTACTATTTAAAAATCTAAAAAAACAAAAGAAAATAGAAAACAACATATTAAAACAACTCATGTTAGATGGTCTGAAATACTTAGATTACCCTATCATGATCCAATTAGGCATCTAGTTGTAGATCCTATGTATTGCTTGTTTCTGAGCATCGCTCATTGGATAGTAAAGAGATTATGGATAGATGGTGGAAAACTAATAAAACAAGATCTAGAACTAATAGAAAACGGTCAAAAATGATTAAGATACCAGCGGATCTTGAAAGGATTTCATGCAAAATTGCAACTGGAAAAGGTTTTTCCAGTTTTACTGCAGATCAATAGAGGATATTCATTATGGTTTACACTACTCCGTTGCTTTGAAAACTTTTGGATGAAGGAGATCAGAAAATCTTGGCCAATTTTGTAAGGGCTTGCTTCTTATTAGTATCAAGAATTATCAATGAACGTGTACTAAAAGAAGCCCATATCCGATTATTGACAGTTGCTCGTTTAATTGAAGACAATTATAGCCTGGTAATGATAACACCAAATGTTCATTTATCTCTTCATATTATGGAATGTTGTCGAGATTATAGTCCTTTATATTCCTTCTGGTGTTACTCTTTTAAACGCATGAATGGAATTTTAGGTCCTTTCCCAACAGTCATCAGGCCTGTTCAATTCTGATTGATGCAATTTTTGATGCAAATTTTGAGCAGTATGATTGGTTAAAATTTTGCATCAAATTTGCATTGAATGCACCAACTTTTTTGTAGATGCACTTGATGCAAATTATTAAACAGCCAATTAAATTTATGTCACACCATTTTTTTTAGAAATCTCCTCATTCATCAAAAACGAACTTTAAATTTTTTCGCGTTATGCATTTTTTTATTTATAAGTACTTATTATTATGGATAATATAACTAAAAATCAAAAACAACAACTTAAGAATTTGCCACCTTTACTTCCAAAATATCAGCAGGCAAATATTTTTGAAGAACGCAAAAATGTAGAATTTTCAAAATTATATAATAATGATAATATGGATTCATTTTCAAGAAATTATCTTCCTTCTAAAAATCTGAATACTTTTTATTCAAGTTCTTTAATGATGCCATATCCATATATTATTTCTCAACCCTTCCAACCACCTTAACAACTACAATAATAGCAACTGCTGCAACAATTACAACAGCAGCAACCGCCTCAATCATCTTAACCTCTTCAACCTCTTGAAATTCAAAATCAACCTAATATGAAGGTATTATTTTATGAATTATTTTACTCTCTCTCTCTCTATATATATATGTTTTTAACACATCATTTTTTTTATTTAAGAACAGGTTTAATAATAATAATAATAATGCTGATTTATCAAAAATAAAATCACAAGGCAATAAAATAAGAAAAGTATCAGTAGAAAATATTGAAGAAGAATTATCTAAATGGGACGATTATAAAATTACTTTACTTATTGCATATATTCAGGTTAATGTTTCAACATGGTCTAGCAATAAAAGTAAGTTTTATGATTCAGTTTCAGCTAAAATTCTTTCAAAATTTTCTAGTGAACAAATAAAAAATAAAATAGGAGGATTAATGCGTCAATATGATAAAGATAAGCAAAAAAATAATCAAACCAGAGCTGCAAGAATAGATTGAAAATGGTATGAACAACTGGATGAAGTTTTAGGAACATGTTAAACAACAAGTCTAAGTTTTATATCTGATAGATCAACAATCTATATTGAATCTATGAAATAAGAAAAACAAGTTATTGAATCTAAAAACAAAAGATCTAAAACTTCAGCTAACTCTATTGGAGATGCTATTTTAGCAATAAGTTTGGCAAGAGAAAAAATGTGGGAAAAAAAGTATGAATTACAAGAAAAAGAATTAAATTTTAGAAAGGAAAAAGCTGATCAAGAATTAGCAATTGAAAAGGATAAATTAGAAATTGAAAAATTAAAAGCATAAATAGAGATTGAAAAACTTAAAGTTCAATTAGAACATGAAAGACAATTAAAAGAAATGGAATTTAAATATAATAATAAACAATAAAGGTTTATTCATAATAAAGTTCATTATCAAACATTATATTATTTCTTTTGTGTTGACCCACTAATTTTAATTCATTATCATTAAAATCATTATTTTCTTGATTTTCATCATCTATATCTAAATTTAAATTTAAATTTAAATTCCAAATATCTCTATTAAGTTCCAAAAAATTATGAAAAATTATAATGCAATCAGCAAAAAGAATTAAATGTTTAACTTTTTAACAGAGCATCCTTTTAAAGAAACAAATCTTAATTTTAATTTTTCAAAAGCATTTTCTACTACAACCCTATGTTTTGAATGTATTAAATTAAATTTTTTTTGTTGTTGATTTGATGATAAATAAAAAGGTGTTATTAAAAATGGTGAAATTGGATATGCAGAATCTCCAAGTAAATAATCATTATTGATAATTAATTCATTTTTTTTTTTATAAAAACTTGAATTTTTATAAACTTTTGCATCATATACTATACCTGGCCAACCTATATCATAACTAATAAAAATTCCATGAAAATCTACTATTTCTTGACATTGAATTGAGTAACATTTTTTCGATTAAAATATAATTCTAAAGAATTAGAAGGTTTATCGTTTAAAATTAAATGAGTTCTATCAATAGCACCAATTACTTAAATCCACCAATTAATTGAAATCCTTTATGAACTAATTCTCGCTGCTCTCCTTTTGGCCATTGAACAAATAATGATTTTTTTGAAATTATTACTTTGATTACTCTTTTTATATATAAAATTACAGTTCCTTCTGCAATACCAAATCGTGAACATATTTCAAAAATATTACTTTTACCTCCAATTCTATGTAAAAAAACTGCATAATTATAATTCTACTGGTGCTTGTTTTTTTTTGTCCTTTAGTTTGAAAATTTTCATGATCAGAAATTAAATTAACTAAAGTTTTAAAATGTTCAAATGGCATTCGTAATATTTTTTTAAAACGGTTATTATCATAAGTTGGTAAAACTTCATAATACCAGTGAGAAGACTTTGGAATATTACATAAACGGGTATTAGAATATCTTGTTTCTGAAAGTAAAAGTAAAATAAAGGTAATTAAATCATTAACATCAGTTTCTTCTTCAAAATCACTGTTTTTTTCAGAATCACTTTCACTTTCATAAAGAAATTCTTGAATAGTTGTCAAAAAGACGCATTTTCTATTTCTTGTTTTTTAGACATTTTAGAATATGTCGTACCATTAATCTATGCATCAACTATGTTCAATTTTGTACATCAAAATTATGAATTGTGTTTGGTTAATCACAATATGCATCAAAAAATGCATCAATCAGAATTGAACAGGCCTTAAGTATTTATGAGGACTCACTATACGTCATATTTAATTCCAGCCAATTGTCGTGATGCTGGCCATTTCGTGACATATTTTGCGCCGTGAAAATAATTATCCGGTATCCCGTGATTTTTTATAATTAACAATGACTATAATAAATCGGTTATCAGGCAAAAAATCATTTATCAGGCAAAAAATCGTTTATCAGGCAAAATATCATTATCAGACATTTAATAACTT